ACATATGTATGAAGGTTCCTTTTCATTTTAGATCTTCCTATCACTTACATTATCAAATTCACAATATGACTAGTAATTGGAGTGTAATGGTTTGAAATGTGAATTAAAATGGAGATTTTTTTTTTTTTTTTCAAATGTAGTATAACAAAAAAATACCCCAAAAGTATCCAGAATATTACAGGTAAAAATATATAAATGCACAATCTTAATAGATATCAAGGGATCTTTTAATTTTCTCTTTGTGCTGACACATTGCCATCATCACTACTAACATTGTTCATATTATCATAAGAAGGTTAAAGAATTATTATATCATATTGACTAAGATCATAAGTAATATTCTCTATCTGGTTGAACTTTCCTGAACAATTCTCACAAAATTGGTCACAGAAAGTATTCCTGCATGACGAAACTGTATCGCTTCAATTAAACGTTGTCCTACTACTGTAAAATGCCCAATGTCACAGAAACATTTGAATTGGTAAACACAGCTTTGGTTGTTGACCATCTTGGCGTCCCCCAGTTGCCCTTAGGACACCACACCAGCTTGCCTAATGTTTTGGTCTGCTAAGAGTGATTTTATGGCATATTGAGGAGAAGATTTCTAAATTTTAGAAGTGATGATGGGATGTCCTAGAGTATTAGGAATTACATTATGAAATTACACCACCAGTTAACACTCACACGTTTTTTGCTGCCCATCTGTCAGTCATTCCCTATTTTTCTATAACTGTCTCTTTTAAGGACAAATTTCACTCTCTCTCCCTCTCCTCTCTCCCTCCCCCCTCTCTCTCTCTCTTAGAGCTCTCAGCACTCAGAGTTAGACAGAAAGATGGTGTTAAGAAAGGAGTAACTGGTTTCTATGTATGAGGCGTGATCAGTTCAGATTTATGTCCAACAATCACCTGCTCTGCCATTAACACCAGGGGATGATTGTCCTGATTAAGCATTTCAGTTATGTTGGGTGGGGTGACAGCTGAGTCACCTAAGCAGCTGATTGCATATACTCCTCACCTTATCCTCAGTAATGCATGCTGTAATGAGAGAAAATGAAGTACATTTTAGAAAGCATTTCCTTAATTTGCATGGCCACTTGCTATTATTAAAAGTTATAGGTTAAAAATTCTTCAGTGTAGGAGGATAATTCTCACAAGCAACTTATTGGTTGTCATTCAAGATTAGAGTAACTTTATAGCCTACTAGGTGTGTGCTTGACAAAGGAAATATGGTGTATTGTTGTTTATCATGCAGCTTACAATCACAATCCAGTGAGAAATTTTTCAGTTTCATTACTTAGATCACTTGAGTATCCCATAAAAGTATGTAGACCAGATGTGTGCCATACCCTACCATGGGGCCAACCAAACTTCAGCTTTAGAAATATTTGGTTTTCCTTAAATGAAAGATGAAAAAGAACAATTTTTTTTTAATATGATATAAAGGTTTTACATATATACCAAAATAAACCAGGCATGAGTTTTAGAAAATACACCATTTTGTGCACAATTTCTTGCATTCCACATTTAAACCATTTAAAAAAACTTAGAAGTATGAAGTAAAGAAGAAGAAACCATATTCATTATCTCAGGTTTTGTATTTATATAGCTTATCTTTTTGGTGTTCAAACCTATAAAGTGATTAAAAAATTCCATATACCAAATAACATGAGTGAGGGGAGGGAAAGAAAAAAAGAAGAAAAAATGAAAACATTGAAATGGTAACAGAATGGCAGAGACTTTGAAAGTGATAAGGAATATCTTTTCTATACATTTATATAGTTGCCAAAGTAAAGTGGATTTGATATATGAAATAAAGTCTCTGTGGGGATATGTAATTTTATTACCTTTCCAATAAAATACAAACTGATTTTACCTTAAATTGGAGAAAATGTTGAGCTTAAGCACGCACGAACAAGGAAAATAGAATTTCCCTGTAACTGTTTCTAAAGGGGATCTCCCTTCTGCCTAATTTAAGCATCTCCAAGATTTTACTCTCACAGTGTGCAACATTAATACTTTTTTTCTTCATATTCTTCAGTTTTGATATTGACTAAATATCACCACTCAGCAATCACCTTCCTCTCTCTTTTTAGCAGAAAGCATCTTACTTAAATATGTGGAAAATCTACTGTTTGTTGGTTATCACTTTTCATTTATTCCTTTAAAATGAAATGATATGAAAAGTTACTCCAATGGAATACAAGTCATAATATTTTGAATTTTTCAGTAATTCCTTTTCAGTTTTTGTATAAATCATAATTTCATTTCCTATTTTTATTGCACTTGAGGTGGAACTGATTAAGTTAAAAATGCCATGACTTTTCTGTTCCGGTTTTGGTAGGGTTTTGTTTTCTCTGTGTGCAGACGTTACAGTGTAATTTTTATTTACTCTTTTTATGATTAATTTTCATCCATAAGTTAGAAAAACAAGTATCATAATTATCATCATCCTCAGTGGCTGTAGCCTAAACAGAATCATTTACGATTCATTTCTGTTTCAG